GTAATTTCACATTTGGAGATTAGCATTGTGCTCATTCTAAATCACTTTCAGAGCCCAAGAGCAGTCCTCTGCACCCAGTCTACTAATAAAGCCACTGGCACATGCACAATTTAGAGACAGATGATTATTTTGCTGATGTGACCACTTCAGGAAGCTGACTGCTGCACACTGTTCTGGCTGTAGTCACTAGGGGAAGATATTACAACAGCAGAGCTACTCTGAAGGGGAAAAAAAAGGCTTGGGACTTGTTCACGCAGGGGACAACTCAGGACGGTTTATCTGAATTAGCTAGAGATTTACTGTGGATTACTTAGAATCATATAAAACCTCTGAGGGTATACTTTTGCTCAGATTTAAATTGTTCTAATTCAATTAGATTAACCTACTTCCAAATGTTTTACACAGCTAGCAACAACAAACCAGACTAGAAGGCACATAAGGGTATCTAAAACAGTCTGCGGATGAACACAGTCATGCTCCCCTTATACCATGTGAATATTACATCTCACAGCAAAATGTAGTATCAAAAGCTGACAACTGGAATGGAAGAAATTGAGTTCAAGGACACGATAGGCAGAGAACTGGATGTCATCATCATCTTCAGAAAAAATGCAGTTGGAGCCCAGGCACTAGCCAGTTACAGTGCTTCCAGCTAGAATGATCATCAAACATGCCTGGATCATGATATCATTTCAGGCAAGTGGAAGCTAAGCATCTTGGAAGCCTTAATGACAGCTAGCTTACCACCAGCTTGTCTGCGAGAGCATTGAGCAGACATGGGGGACAAGTTTCAGGATATGCTGTCCTTCCTAGGATTCTCTAAAGAGAAAGAACAAGCTCCAGTATTGAGCAGGGAACCAAGTACCTAATCCTTTGTGCTGGAAGTGTACTAGGGTTTCATGATAAGGCACCTTGGTATCAACAGTAAGCCCATTAGAGTCATACCTTAACATGGCAACTTGGCGAGTGCTGAGGAAACAACCAGGCTCATTACAGTCACAGCAGGGTTTCCAATTCCCACTCTGGCAGGGATATTTCTGGGGTGTTCACAGCGTCTTCTTCTCCGAACATCAGGTCAAACCTGGAAACTCTAAGAAGCTTTTTCAGCCATCCTCGCACAGGAGAGAATGACAAAAAGGCAACGCTGTTTTAGGGAAAGTCCCTAGTGGCCAATAGCAAGTGTAAAGCTTTCACACCCTAGGCATGCAGCAGAAGTTCAAGTAGGTAGAGAGACTGTAAAGATTTCCTTTAGTTTCCTTTGTGGAAGCCCCTGAAAACCAAAAGGCCTAGAAAGTGGAGGGGAAGGCCAAAAGCTGGAACCAAACTTGGTCTTCATTTAGCTTTCCACTTGTCCGAAAGAGAACCAGGCAGCTGCTGGCTCCAGCTGCAGTCGTGCTTGTAGTACACTTCAGGGTGAGGACATGGCATCTTGCCTGATCTGTCCAGTATCTCAAAGGTGCTTGAGGGGAGAACAAAAGTGTTCATGCTGGTGTACAGCAGGAAAATCCGGTGTGTTGGGGTTGAGTCAGCTGTCAGAGGCAGAGATGGGTAAAAATGCTTTTGATGTGCTTGGAGGGAGGTGCTGGAGGGCTGAGAGGTCTGGAGGTCTGCTCGCTTTTCTGTCTGCAAATGCTCCTGAGTGTCCCCAAGGCCAAGGCTGTGCAGATGGCCAGCGATGTATTAGATCAAAATAGACCCAGTTTATCTGCTCCTAAAATGTAATGCATTCTGCTTTCTGATGGCAAGCCTCAGAAATACCAGAATTAGACTTCAGAAGAGTATAAAAAGCTCCCTGCTAACCTAATGTGCAAATGGACTGTAGCACTTACTGTGATCTTGGGCAGCAACAAAATTAGAAGGCAACAGCAAACATGAAAGAAAAATGCAGCTGAAAAATACCAACATTATCCTCTTTTAATACATATTGTTAAAATTAACGTTTTTGAAAGCTGAAGAGATAGGAGCCTGGGTGCTATCACCCTATGTCTAATGCAGTTCGTGATTATTAACAAACAGCAGAATACATATAAAAGAGTCTGCAATGGTATGGATATGAGCCCAGCTGGTGTCCCCATATGCCTTACAAATTCCATTTTTAGGAACACAGTGGCATATAACATTAGAGATGCTTCTTAAACATCTCATTTATAAATAGAGCAGAGCTATTTTACTGAAGTACAGACAGAAAAGGTCTACAAGAACAATAAAATCAGCTGCATTCAAAACCACTGAAATGGTTCAACCACACTGTTTCCAGTAGGAACCACTCTGCACCAGAATATTCCCTGAAAGAGGAATGATGCTTATCATAGGCTCATCACTGGGATTTTTTTAAAAGCAACCACCAAAAAGACATTTTAGTCAGAAAATGCCAACTTACTTTTGTTTTGGCAAAACGTTCCTCCTGAAAGGTTTTTCGGGTCCAGAATGGAAGAAGGAAGGCCCAAGCTTCAGGGCAGTGGAGAGTTACAGCTGTGACTGAGCAAATTCTTGCCACTTGTGAAAATTAATCAAAGTAGGGTCTGGAGCCTGGTTGGTCCACATCCTGGGGAGAGTCCTTCACCAACAGGCTGTGGGGACTCTGCAATACAGCTCCTTTTCCAATGCTTTTCAATTTCAGCAGAACCACCTCTAAGGGAAGGTAGTTAACTGTGGCGATTCCTGACTCATTGTGAAAATATATCAACAAATGCATTTGACAAAAAATCATAATTTTGTTATAGGTACACTATCAACCAAAATATATCTAAAGCAGATATCTAAAAAACATACACTACATATGAATGAAAAATTATTTTATTTAAAAATACATTATACAGCAGAGTGTCTCTCTTTTTGTTTTCTCACTGCTGGTTCACAGAGATAGTATGATAAATTTAACCCAAATATTTGCCTGGGAAAGATCCTGAGAAAGAGACCAGTTACAAGCTGATGATATACAGTACACTGAAAAAGAGTCATCTCTTTTAACATAAAAGAATCTCTTGGTAATCTTATAAATCAGATATAAAAAATGCAGGTTTGCTACCATGCAAAAACGAGTGAAGATTTCATTTAAATCTGCACACAGAGAAATCATTAGTACCTTGGACCCTAACTACCTAGACTAAGAGAAGGGTGAGTGTGCCTAACACGGTGATACAAACTTTGGATCTACTACGATTTTGTAAACACAGCTGATAGTCTAATAAAGGTGGATTTTCAATCATCTAAGTATTGTAGTTGTAGCTAAGGACTCTATTCTAAGATTTTTCTCCCCACTGATATATTTCTTCACTCTCTTAATTCTCAGCTTAGCACAATGACTTCGTGACAAATGCTCTATTGCACTGAAAGACGACTTGGCCTTGCCCTGTTTGCCAAGCACTCTTTAGGTAGTTGAATTTTAGTGAAAGTAGAGGTTAAAACAAAAAGTAAAAAGCAGGCATTACCTGATGACTATGTGGGAATGCATTAAAATTCATCATCGAAAAAAATATACCCGCTTCTACATCCTTATGTTTCAAACATACTCTAACAATGATTAACGTACAGAAAATACATTGAACTGTGGAAAATTTAAGGCCTAAAATGCTCAACAGCCTGCACTGAACAATAGTATTCTCAATGTTTCTGTAGTGCTAGCATTTTATCAGCTGTTGCCAGAGGAAACACATGTGTTGCCAGAGTTGCACACATTAAGAATGTCGTCAGCATCTACAATATTCCGATCCATTTGGTGCTCAATTTTTATAGGACAACTTCATTACATATTGTCAGCACGATTGTCTTTTAAAGGGGAGACTTAATCTGATTATTCACAGCGATAACAGAGCTATGATAACATCGCCTGATGTTGAAGAAAAATCAGTTCATCAACACCACACAAACTGGCAGAGGAATTTTTTTTTTCCCCCAAGAACAAGCGCCTGAAACACAAACAGAGATAGAAAGCTTTGTAGAAAATCTGCCTGTCCTGGCCACTTAGGCTGAAGAAAATTAATGAAGCCATTTTGGCTTTACTGTGAGTTTTCCATGAAAATGGAGAGTAGAAATTCAGATGCACTTTTCTCACTAAGCCAGTGACCCTCTTCTTACCTTAGCACTCATTCTCCCAGCATAGTATCAGGGAGTACAACAAACATGAGAAGATGCAGGCTTTCTTAAATAACTCATTTAAATAACTTATGAATAGCATGGTTTCCATCAGATATGCTAAGCTAAGAACAGAGCCCTTAACCTTTCATGGGATATCATTAGTAATAAAGAATATATCAACGATCAAACTTGCTATATTATTTTCATTTCTTTTAACCTAGATACATATATATCATTCAAGACATTCAAGAACTACAAAACAACAATTCAACTACAATTATGTCAGGAAAATATCCAAATAAATAAACCTTTAATTATGATACAATACTTATTACAGTAAAAATTGGCATTTTTTTCTCTTCAAAAGCAGAAGCACCAGTCTTACATGTAACATATTGTTTGAATGATATCTTACATGAAATACAGCGTAATACAATGTGCAAACAGCATCTTCATACATAACATAATATTTGTCTAGTTTTTATACACTGAAATCGCCTCAAATGGAAACAAGTTCATGCTCAATTAAAAATGTAGATTTTAAAAATCAAAGTTAAATCAGAATACAAAGTACTGTTGGAATAGGTACATGAACCATTAAAAACAATGAGAAGCCAAAATAGAGGGTATTATAATTAGTGCTCAGTTTGTCCCATTCCATCATAAAAGTAAACAGTTAATATTTTTGCTAGAAAGTAAAGTGACCTTCTAATATTTAAGAATTCTTCAAAATGTTGGTATCATTTTAATGATGTAAAAATCAAGTCATAAATAGGACTTTTAAAAATTTCTTATTTTTGATAACACTGCAAATATCATGTGTGGGCTGTGAAAAGAGATGAAGTCCAATGGAGTGAATATACATCAGCGTCAACATCATGTGACTTCTGCAAAGGCCGTGATGTGGTTCTACAAGTTAAAGGAAAAACAAACAGATAAAAACCACAAAACCACACAGATAGCAGTCACCATTGTGAAAATTTTTGCCTCTTGAGCTTTAAGGGCAGCCTTGTACTTAGAGATTGTTGCAGGACAATATTTTATTTACAATATTTCCAATATTTTATTGTAAATAAAACTGGTTTTCACTGCAGTGCTCTCACTCGCTCTCAAGACAATTCTTTGTTAACCGCTGAAAGACTGGATAGGGAAGTATGCTGAACAAAGTTATTAGGTGTGACAGTTCTACAATATTTTAGTTTTAAATGTTTTGGATTTTTTTTTAATGAAGTAACGACGTGAATAATTGAATTAGTTGTACCTTTATTGCTACATTATTCGTGATTTAAAACAAAATTCCTAGAAATTAAAATGACCGTTTCTGACAGATTATCATTTTCTATTTCAGTGTAAATAAAATTCTAATATTAATTTTTTAAAGAATAATTTCTCCCCCTGAGCTTGATGGCACTGAATCAAGTAGCAAAATGCTACAATCAAATTGCATTTGTCAGTTGAGAACCATATTAAAAATTTCTTTTTCAGAATCACTACAGTGTCCTCTTCACTTGCTGTGTAAGAACACTTTCCTCTTTCTGTCAATGGGACGATTCTTATGAACACAAAGATGTGTATCAGAATGTGAATATACTATGTGTGACTCTACACAGTAAAACTTCAGCATCCCAAAGAGCTTTGCTACTTTTTCATACTCTAACCCAAGCAAGTGACTCTGCAAACATTCGACAAGTAAAGTCTCAACTGCACAGTGATGTGCAGGATCCAAAGGAAATGTACGTTCCCTTGAGGCACACACAGTACCCTTGACTGCCACCATTTTTTATAAAACATGCAATGCATAAAGTTAATCAAGGAAATCTCAATGTTAGGCCACGTGTTTGCTCCCCAGCACAAAAATGCATGCAGGGTAAAATACCAAGCAAAGCACTGCGGATTTTTCTCATCACTTTGCCTCCTGGAGCAGACTAAAGTCAGAAGAGAGGAGGTGTAAGCTGAAGAGGATGAATTATGTAGATAACTTGGAGAGAGTGGGACCTCTTGTTTTTTGCTTAAGGGAAGTCCTTCAGAAAATCTTTTTATCACACAGCACAAAAAGTGCCAGAGAGAAACAGTGGACACCACCTAAGTTTATATTTCTCAGTTCTTCTTTAAATTGTCAGAATATTTGTCTATCAGTCCGTGCAGGGGAAAGCAGGCAGGCATCTTTGATTTGCACAATAAAGGAAATCAGAAATACCCTGACTGGGAGCATTGGAGAGCTGCTCCTTATCCCCCCTCTCCAAGCCAGGCTGTCAGCTTTGCTCTCACTCTCACTGTGCTGTAACTGTACTGTGTCCAGGAGGAGAAGCTGTCTTCCACCTCCCCTACAACATGCATTTTAGCTCTAGCAATGTTCTTGCTGTATTTTATGACAGCTTTCATAAGAGAATACTACCAAATAGTAAGCATCTATATACAAGCATCTATACAAGTTCTTCTCCAAAACAGAATAAGTATATTTTAAAAAAATAGTAATTATTAAACCATAGGCAGAATTTTAAAAGAAGCATTAGAAAAAAAAGTGTGCCACTTTCTGTGAAAATGTTTTCAGTAAACAATATTAACAAATGTCATTGCTTGCAGATTTTAATACTGCAGAAGAAATGCAAAATTAGATTTCCTAATTAGAAAACAAAAATTAAGAATTCAAAGCATTTTGGTTGGTTGGCCATCTTCTGTTTTCAGTACATAAAAGATGATATAGCAGGCAAACTCAGTGATTCTGGAGTTGCTGTGAGGCTATTATGACATTTTCTTCATAGTATTTACTTTATTTTTCTTTATTTGGACCTGAAAAGTCATCCTGTCAACTTAAACTATCATCAGTCTAAAATTATTCACTTTGTTAACAAGTAAAATGGTCTAAAAACAAGAAATTGGAGGGGAAAAAATTTCCTCTTTATTCTAATCAATTCTTTCAAGTCCTGCTTTGTGCCATCCCTTTCCCTAAGTGACACACATTTGCCTGTGATGCAGAGAACCAACTGCTCTTTCATGTGACATTAATTCGGGACTGGATAACTATTATTTAAGGAAAGGAGAATGTGGTTCATACTCCTGCCAGCTATACTCCCAAAATGAGTGGGTCACCATGCCTGGAAGGACATGCAGAGGCATGGGATATAGTAACAGAAAAAAAATCTCCCTTCCTCAATAAACCCTCAAAGAGAACTGCTAAGCTCCTGATCATGGACCTATTGGTTTGGACCCTAGTAAAGGACTGTCAATTCATTTCCAATGGACTCAGAAGGGTGATGCATAACTAGGTCAAAATTAATCACTTGCTGATGGCAAGAATCACTGATACAGATTCATGCAACTGTCTGGTTATTCATGCTTTTTCACGTTATTGTCTCAGGCAAAACTACAAATAAGCCTTGCTGAGACTCAGCAGAAAAAAATTAACAAACAGCATCCCTCCTTGAATAACTGCATTTAAACTCTCTTAATTCTGCTTAGGTTTACTGTCACAAAGTTCAGTGTGAGATACTAACTACTGTCAGCAAACAGATGCACACAGATGCAGGAGACAAGCGAAAAACATGCACAAGACCTCAGCTTCTCCAACTCCACGGGAAATTATTTTCCCTACAGTACTCAAAAGAATTAGAAATGCTGAGGGTCTGCTCAGTGGCAGCAGTTTCACAGACAGGTCCACCAGTATTTGTACTATCCATTCTAAACAGACAGTATCAGCTTGGTGAGCAAGGCATGCATCATAACCACGCTCTCACACCACTAACAAAAAAGGGAAAGATAAAGGTTAAGCCTTGAGTGCAGGTTACTTGGGGAAATGATCCACACCTGTATATCTTCTGTTAAGTTTTAATTAATTTCTGTTCATAAGCAATGCTATAATGTTAAAGCATTGAAAAAATACATTGAAATGTCTTGTGATTTCCAGTTTTCAACATATATTATATATACTGAACTTTTTTTTTGTTCTGTTATCATCAATTCAGTTAGAAATATTCAGAAACAGTCATCATCCTAAAATTTTTTCATTTTTGACAACAGGAATTTGTAAAACTGTTAGAAGTTTTACAAAGTTTTACAAGTCCTTGTTAAAAGAAACAGAAAAATACTATGGTAGTAGTTCAGGCAAATCATAATTTATCGAACAATAATAATACTGTTATCGTACAATTCTCGGAGTGCGCAGAGTATATTTTACGCTTTTACTAGACAATCACATTTTTAAAGGAAAAAAAATGCATTCAAGTGAAATTCCCCATTTCAAACGTTGCAGACCTGCACAGAACGCTGCTGCCACACTGCATCTGCCTCGGTTCTCACACACGCTCACTCAGGTGCGCTCTCGCGCACATACGTTTATTGCCTTATGCGAAGCTGTTCAAAACGGTCTGTTCCCGATATCCAGGAGAAGAACCTAATGATGCGAGCTTTGAGGGAGTTTCGCTGCAAAGGATCTTCTTGATTGTTACTAATACCTTGATTCTGTAACATCTACAACATGCATGGTTGGGGAGGTCACACTGAATATATTGTTCCACTTCCCATATTTAAATATTATTTTATTTAAACGTTAGACGTGGTGATCATAGTTTGCATTCAAACAGAAATAATTCTTGTACAATGCCCTAGAAGCTGATTTAAGCAGAAGAGTAGGATAGAAATGCAAATTCAGCTGCCTGACATTGAAACAAAATTGCTTACGTTTTTTTATGAGCTGACTCTCCCATCTACGCGTTGAGGTGTGTGAAACAATGTTGTATTATGTCTCCTTTAAAAGACTGTATTATCACGGAGAACCATTATGCCAACAGAAATTTGAAAACTGCCTATAAGCTAATGTAAGCACATGGGCTCTCCTCAAACTTACCTGGAGAAACTATGTATGGATACCTATGTATACTTTTGGACATCAAGCACTACAGTATTTGGATATTTATCAACTAAAACATTTTGAAGCAACAGAAATAGACACAAACCATCTTCCCCATTTGCTCATAGCACGATGAGCTAAAACATCTTTGTGTTTTGCTTTTAGCTGTGAACTCAGTGAGAGGTGTTCAGTCTCCCTGGAGAGCTGCAGGGATCAGACCAGACTCCCTAGGCCATGCTGCTGTGTGATCACAAGGGCACATAATAAATACTATCAGAACTCATTGCAATACCTACACTTACTACTGTTAAAAGGTTTTATCACCACTACCTTTGGCACATACACAATAGAAAAAGAATTATAGTGTCAAACTCAACAAGATTTCTGGGACAATTAACCCTGATAGTAGCAACTGGTACGATGGGCAACAGCAATGTCACATATTATGAGAGGAATTCCAAATAATTATAACCATTAAAAGTTGGAAATAGCAGGAAAAGAGAGCACCTAATCTATCTCTTTCTAGTTCAGTCATGCCGGATAGACAGTCCTATGGGGGAAGTGTAAGAAACCACTTTGTAACAAGGAACAGGGACTGTGTTTTGGAACATGGTTTGGGCACTGCTGACAGAAGTGGCAGTATAAAGGAACACCAAGCAGAACTTGGGGAATTAATGCACTTAGCTGTCAAACAGAGCACTGCAAAGAACCCTCTGTGCAAATAAGTAACACTGAATAGCTACAGAAAGAACTGATTATCAGACACAGTAATTATCTCATCCCACAGGAGATGAACCATAGCACATCTCCTAACCAAACACTTCCTCCTAAAACCTTCTCTCTCACTATTCTATCTACTGCCTCAGTTAGTCCTAAAATTGTCCATGTTGCTTGATTTTTTCGAAGCTAGAATACTTATTTAAAAAAAAAAATAAATCAAAAACATCAAACCAAAAAAACCCTTAAAAACAGGCTAGGAGAATCAGAAGCTACTACAAGACATGCATGGAGTCCTCTGTGAGCCCCAGCCAATTTCAGGTGACTTTTGCATAAAATAACGTCAGACTCCCCTGAAACAGTGAAAACACAGTCTGTGACTGCACTGGATGAAGCTGAGCTTTTAAACTCTTCCAGGTAACACCCAGAATATCCCCATTTCTCAGTAAGTCTTGCAAAAGAACAGGAGTCTGTAACCTTGACTGTGGCAGAATGAGAGCTTACTCTTTGTAGGAGAGTGCCAGCTAACTGAAACACAAATTATCTTGTAAGAGATGAACAGGATCAGAGATAGGAGAGAAGAAGAGGCAGATGGGTGAGTGATGAGGTTTCTTGGCTTCCATTCTTTTCATTAATTCTGAATACGATTGTAGTTAAGGTAAAAGCACTAAGTCTGCACTGCTCAGCCAGCTCTGGCAAGGATTCCTCAAGGAGACACTCTGCAACTATGGCTTAAATGTATGAGGAGTGGGTACCCGTGCAGAACAGCTTAATCATCTGCATGCACCACAATTAAACAGAAGTGTCATGCAAACAGTTATCTAACCTTGTCATTAACCAGCAGCAGCTCAATTCAGAATATTACAAGTACACTTATTCCTATTTAAGTGCACTTCAAATGTAGCTCGACCTCCACCAGAATTCAGACAGTGGCAGGATGGCGAGCATGCCAAGAGCATTCATTCTCCATGGAGAAAGCACTGGAATAGCAAGTAGCAGATCTGGAAACAGAAAAGTAACGTGCTTCCAGGTCTGTGTGATGCACCCTATGCTTATTCATTTAGGGGTGAATTTGTAACAAAATAGCAATGAGTGAGGTCGTACCTGGTGGGCATTTCTAAAGAAGTTGTTCTTTAAAACAGGATTTTTGAATTGCTTGCTCCCAGATACCTATACAGTTATTATTTTGAAACACCAATCACAATCGCATTGTTTCATGCTTGCGCTGCCTTAGCCTTTGATAACTTCAGACAGTTAGGATTTGTGCTACTCTTAGTAGCTAATTTCTGACAGTAAGCTGTCTTTAATATTGGCACAGGAGCTTGCAGACTGAAAATAAGGAAATACAGTTTTAAAATAAGCCAAATGTAAATCTATGTGCGTTCAGAATGTTGAACTAGAACAGTCCTAACTGAAACGTAGTGAAAATCAATTCACACATACCCAGGCAAAGGTAAATAGCACACAAATTATTTAGTATCGCTCCATCTTCAGTGGAGAACAAAGGATGTAAAATAGGAAGGGAGTTAAAAAGCAAAGACTAAGTTAATAATGCTTGTAGTGATGGTAATTAATTGAGATTAACTAACTTAATTTAGACCTTAGTTCCCCGTAAGTATTATTCTTAGTGCCTTTTATTAAACAGGGTCTGTCTTCTATCTAAAACTTTGGACTAAGCACTTATTAAAAAAATAATAAAAATAAAAATATAAATAAAAATAAAAATAAATCCACAGAAACTCAAAATCTAAAGCACTCACACGTAAATAACTTTTTCATTAATTATTTGCTAATTCAAATTTAAAGTTTCTGAGAGCGGAAACAGAAGAAAGCATTTCCCAACAATTAGCAAAGTCTCCACATTATTGTCCTCACATTCCATCCTCTCTGTCTGGAAAGGAGAAAGGTTTTGCAACACAGACAAAGATGAACTATACACTGAGATCTCACCAAGTGTTAGCACCCTGCAGACAGTCTCCAATTTAGTTATCTAGAGAGAAGTTCCATGCCAGCAAACAGCTGCTGTCTACTGCCCCAGGAATACGAGCTCAGAATGAAAGAAGTTTGTTCATATCAGAGTCCTGGGCAGTTCACAAATAGCTTTTGCCACAGCATCTCGAACTAGGCCAAGTCTCAGGAAAAGAACATTATTCATCATGAGTGACAGGGTTATTAGTTATGATGGCTTTTGAGCCACAGAAATGGCTGCTATTGCAGGAGAGCCTAGCATGTAAATAAGACATGCTCTTATTAGTGTGGTATGTCCTAGGCCAACTGACATCTTGTTTTGTTTTGACATTTTACAGAAAGTTTACTGAATGGATTATTTTGAAGATACACACTCATCATGTAAATACTTGTTCAAGCAAATGAGACTCTGACCTCCTTATGACAAGATATCAGCAGAAGTAGCTTAGACACATTTGGTTCAAAAAGGCATGTTGGACCATTCTGAAAAGAAATCTTCTTTCCCTTCAAGGAAAGGAATAAAACGCCCAGGGCCAGCAGAAATTCTTACTTAAGGACAACTTCCACCACTTCCAAGTGGTTAAGACAGACTGGGAAGTGATTAAAAACATTTCTTCTTAAAAGAATGCCATAGAAAAGTACTTTTAGTGCCCTATCCATTGTGGAATTCTTTACTATCTATTTCACTACTTGTTTGCTCATAAAATTGTTCAGACATAATCTTACCTAACACATAGTACAACATCATCTTCAAAAAACAAAAATGGTCATCACAGTAAACTAAAATAAATTTTAAACACATTTTGTGATACTTACTCAAGCAAAAAGTTTTGGCTTGAAAATTATCACTAGCATGCCCTTGTCCAAAATCCTATTTGTTTTGACAAGAGATCATGGGGTTTGTGCAGTTACTATAAGACCCATGTTACTCTCACTTCCAAGTGGGTACCCTGTCCTGGGGTTAGCATGTGTCTGATGATAAAAGCACCACAGCTGATCCAGAAGGGACTGGATGCTCTATACTAGCCTGAGGACATATCACAAAGAAATAGGACAAATGCCACCTGTACCTGAATTGCATAACCCCTTGGGCCCAGGGTTAGATTTTCTTTCCAAGCACTTCAAGTTCTGTGGACTCTCAGACAGTGTTAATCAAATTTACTTCAGGACCACAAGGAAAGAGGCCTCAGATCTACTACTCATCCTGATTCCATGGACTTGGCAGCAGCTACAGCAGTAAACTGGACAGATAAAGAGCCATTGTCCTCATAGACGACATAAAGAGCCTCCCATGGACTGTCACTGAATTAATTCTTCCCTTCTTTTTCCTTCACTGGCATGTCTCCTTATTTTAAATCTGATTACCTCGGCACTCTTGTTAAGATAGTGTGGGATCATCCTTCCAGGAAAGCTACATTTAATTTCATTGTTTTTAAAAAAAGTCAAACATTACCTTTTCTAAAGGGCTTTCTACTCGGGGTATGCTGATCATGGGCATCTGGGCCAGATTATCCATATGAGAATGCTCATGTTCTGGTTGACGTCCTCTGAAGTTATTTACCACACAAACAACCTAGAAGGGATTAGAAGATAAACAGAATAGCTAAGGAACAACTTATTTTTTTGAACTTTGATCCTGACATCCATAATTAGGCAGAAATGACACCAGCTTTAGTCACAGCTTTACAGTAGAAACACTGAAATGTGAAGTTCGTGTTTTACAGAAAATCCTTAATTAATATTTCAAGACAAAAGACTTTCAACCAATTTATTGTTACATGCATCATTTGGGAACTAAAAAACCCTCTTATATAAAGAAAATCCTTTATAAAGAAAATCCATTACTCAATCTGAATAATAGAACACTAAGGCACGAACCCCGTTACAGAACACCAATTATCAGTGTCATGAAGAGATGTCCAGAGCACGTGCAGCAGCACATGGCATTAACCTTAAACTCCTATGAAGACCAGTACCCTTTAAGTTTTGATCAGCAAAGACTTCTTCAAATGGAGAGTGAGAAAGGGAACAAGGCAAGGACCATCCCCAAGTCTAACGGCAACTCTAAATCTGGTCAGGGCAGCAGTGGTTCTCCCACAGGGACTTAGGAATGTGATATACACCAGAAATTAGTGTTTCTACTAATTCAGATGCTCAGCTGAGTAGCAATGTTTGCCAACTGTATTTTCTTCAAAACACAACTAAATTTGATATCATGTTACTCAAAGGAGTTTATGCAATATACATCACAAAATACAAGAAAAAGTGTGGGACAGATTTCTTCTCTATTCTTTTCTATTACTTTAGGGGAATGAACAGAATGTAAAAACTTAAACATGAACAACCAAGTATAACTCCTGGACACCTTGTGTGGAAGGGAACATTTGGAAATGCAAGTAGGTATATTTTAAAGGAGACCTGCAACTGTCCTTGCATTTCTCAGAGGATAGAAAATACCCATCGCAGCCATCCCTGGGAGGGTTCTCAGCCAAGCCAAGTCTTCAGATTCAAGATCTTGAGACCAAGACCTTGTAATCCAAGAAAAAAAAAGCTCAAAAGTGTTTTCACGGAGGAAAAAATCAAAGGTGTACTTAGAACTATTACAAGCAGCCAGGCAGACAAACTTGCAGGCAGTAAACAGCAGTGACTGTTCTATTCTATAGCCTTGCACTGCAGATATTAGTGGAGCTGATTAATAGATTAGAAATAGCTTTCTGACACAGACACTAGTCATCGGGAACTGTGGTTAACAATCAGGTTTTGGAACACAGCTCCAGAAAAGGAAAAGGCTAAACAAAGATGGTGGGGTTTTTTTATAGAGAATAACACAAAATTTCAATGTAAACCCAAATCAACATGAAAGGAATTCATTAGGGTTACTTTAAAGTCAGAAAAACAAATGCTACCTATTCTCTGATCAGTGTAGGTATCACTACCTCAAATTTAATACTTTATACATGAAATCATAACTATATGTTTTTCTGAGGCATATATAATTCCTTAAAGTGGGCCTTGATGCAAAGATTACTTTTTGAAATGCTACAGTCTGGTTTATATGGAAGTCAAAAGAGATCACACGATCAGTCCTTTCATGACTTCACATTTGTGAGAGTATCTAAATATAACAAAGGAAACTGATAACTAATTAAAACCCCTAAAATTAGCAACACATCTTTTGTCATTTAGTGGTCTGATTTTATTTTTTTTTTAGAGATGCAAACTTAAACATTGATTTTTTTCAAACAGAAGTTACACAGATACACACTTACCAAGAAGACTGCTATAGATATTCCGATTACAAATCCTGCTATTACATCTGACCAGTGATTTCGATACTCTGCTACTCTGTTGATTCCAGTAAGGAAAGCCAAGCACATTAAGCCCAAACATAGAACAGGTTTTGCAAGCCTTGTTCCTCTGGCTTTCACTGTATTGGTGATATACATCTGAAAATTAGAAAGGAAGACAGTGTAAGATTGATGGATCTCTTCCACTAATTAGCGGATAAAAGCTCTACATTTTGTTTGAATAGACTCTGTGTATTTGATGCTATTTTTTTTTTTTTAGAAGGGGAGGTGGGAAAATAATTAGGAAATAGAGCACTAGATAAAGTCACCATGCTCTTTTGCTGAGGATATAGAAATAGAAGCAGACCATACAGCAAAATTACATTTTATATGAACCTGAAAAGCCCACAGAAAACCAGGTAAATTAGATAATCCTATCCTATTACTCCCAATCTATGTATTTATTTATTTTTATAAAGGTAAAAAGACTGATTTTCCACTGTGCAGTGCTGACAGTTACAGAAAAAGATCTTTACTCTGAAAGGGGCTACATAAAGACCTTATTTTTATTAGCAAATGCCTTTTTTCCATTTACACCGCTCCTTCACATGACTAATTAGTGATTTGTCAAAAATCAGAGAAAAGGTGAAAGAAAAGTGTCAAACAGCAGTGAAAATTAAACTAAATGCCAGCATTCACTTTTATAAATAATGTGTAATGGTTTCAACCAGTGCTGAACTAATACAACTCTGTACTTCACACAAACCAATCTAAATGCAGCAAGTTTTATGCATCAGACTGGAGAAATCCATTTGCCCTACTTGCAGTCTGACTCTCCCTGTGCAATACTACTGAATTAAAAGCACTGCTTGATGACAGAGAAGCTCTTCTGCCCTAAGGTGCATTAGTGCCTACTAGGTTTAAGCCAGCACTTTCCAAGCTCTGATGGGCCAATGGAAAAAATGAATATAAAATATTTTAATATCCTTTCTCTTGAATCTTGGCATTAAGACTGCTTGAAAGACTTCTCCACTCTCCACATTCAAAAAAAAAAAAAAATATATATACTTCAACCAACAAGATTTTTGAGGAAAAAGTTTCCAATTTCTCCAATTAACCCCCTGAAATTCTTAAATCTTCAAATTTTAAACAGAGTTCAAGTTTTTTGATGGAGGAATGCAAGTATTTCCTATGGAGCTGCACTAGAGAATCCAAGTGTGTAATGACACACTTGGCCACAAATGTTCCCTTTGAACTTCAAAGGGAAACAGATGAAGAACCAGTACCACGTTTCTGGCCAACAAATGGTTGGGGTTTTTTCTGTACTAACTGAAACTTCAGTGGAATTTACTGTGTAATCAGTTAATGAAGTGCTTCAATAATCCAGTCAAGAACTGGTTTAGAAAGTGTGGATAAATTAACTGATAAAGTAGTGGACAGAATTTGTTCAAAAAGAGCAATATCTGACAATAATTTTGTCCAAAACACTGAAGAAAGATTCACGGTTTAGAGAATGAAACAAAGCTTAATCTTAAAATCACATCAGAGTACTGCAACACAAATCTTCAGTGTACTTTATATGATAAACAGCAAACAAGTAGCAAGCTTTCCACTAATTCAGACAGAGAAAAGGTTTGCAAAAAGAGGTTTGGGATGTATCTCCAGGCCACATGTCTCCTCTCTTCTTCCTAGACCATTTCAGAAACAGTGTTTCTCCCTTTGCTGACTATCCTTTTATCTTAGCTCCTTATATTTTGCAGGCTATCTTCAGTGAGTTACTCTTACCATGCAGAAGGCTGGAAAACAGCAACTGTAATTTCCAGCTTTTTAGCCCCACTGGTTTTCTACAAGCTACGAACAGAGTAATGCACAATGAATTAACTCAGCAACCCTCTATTTTAGTGAGTCTCATTGTAGTCCTGAATACTACCACCATTATCCACATTCACACTACATGTTAGGACATCTGGTGATAGCAAAAATATTTGAATATTTTGAATACACAGTAAGAACAGCTTGGGTGAAGTTGACAAGGAAGTTGTCAGGAAACTATCCTGCATGAAATTCTGTATTGTGGCATATTAAATTGAAATTACTACTGAGAAGGAAAAACCTGCTTATTTCAGTAACCTATAACACCTGGTCATCACTCAAGAAGAATATCTGCATTTTTATTAGGACAAAACACAATACAAATGATTGATTCTGCAGTACTTCAGTCAAACTTCAACATTTGTAATATAAAGCTAAACTGAAAAGTGCTCTGCAAAAAATTCTCAAAATCTTCCCACAACCAAGCATGTCCTTCAAATTCCTACTCAGACAAAAGCACTGAGCAGAAACAACACATTCATGCTGTGCCTCACATGAGTAGTAATGACCTCCATTTGTGAAGTCCCTTCCTATATGTGCAATCAAGATTGTCATGCCCAGTTCATTACTCAAAATAACCTGAGGGTTCTGCCAGCATAGGTACTATTTCTGTCTTTTCTTTAAATAACAGGTACCACTGATGTTAAGAATAGCATTATATTAAAATATTAAGAATCAAGAGAAACAAGGTAAACTTTTCCTGAAACAATGTAATGAAAAGTCGTCTGTATATTTGCAAAACTCTATATAGCAAATGTAGCCTCTTTCCAAGCCAGGATTCACAGATAACCCATTTTTAAACTTGACCTCTTGCAGCTCTAGAACAATATGTTAACACAGTCCACTCAGTCAAAGATCTGATTTGCACTAAGAAAAAAATATCATTAAGCTGTTGTTTTCTTCTTAATTCTGGTGGAAAAGTTATAAATCAGCACAGTTAGTAATTGACAAAGAATAAACATCTTGAAAAGATGACAGGATTTTTCTTCTCTTACTTTTAATAAATATTAATGCAATATCAACAAAGGAAAATAGCTCAGTGATTTTAAAACATTAGTAAGAATGAACGACAATATAATTTTTTACATGGGTAAAGATGTTTACTGAACAACTTCATCTCAGTTCCTTTTAAAGAAAAAAAACTGGGAGATGAGGAATCTAATTAAAGCAAACTTTTAAATTAGTCAACAGCAAGACCAGCGGCAGAGATTTTGTATGTAAGGTAGAGTAGTTAGAATTAATTTAGGAGGTTGCACATTCTTCTGCAACATTAGATCAGTGGTGAATCTTCTCTTGAAGAACCTCTGCTACTGCTTTTCCTTCTTCCTGAAATAAGATTTTAGTATTAAAAGATATAAAGGTGACACCAGCACACAGACAGTGTCAGTCATACAAGGAGGTGGATTGTTACCTGATCACACAATATAACAATATTTACTAGATTTTCAGAAAAACCACAAATATTGACCTTCAGTCTTCAAGATACTGGAAATGAAACTGTCAGAGAATGTTGTAAATTGAAAGAAAAACTTTAAATGAAGTGGGTTTGAAAAACATGCATTTCAAAGATCAAAGACAAAGCAAGCTACCTGTTTCTGACATGACTGGCTCAGAGCATAGTGTAAGGAATAATCATAGCATTGACACTCAGCTTGTGCTGGGAAATATTTCAAAAGTGTCGTGTTGCAAGTCCTATGTGAAATATGTCCCAAATCTAGTGCAAACAAAATCATTCCAAAACACATAATTTTATGTTTAGTGTGGGACAAAGCAGACTCCTGGGCTATGCTGGAAGCTCTTCCTAGGCATCTTTCAGCTGTCTTTAGGCCCACCCACATAAACATCTGCGCACACAAACACACATGGAACAGGACTCAGACTCCCCTTTTAGTTTCAGAGGAGCTAGACATCAGCCTGGGTGCACCAGCCAGGAGAGAGGATACTTTTCCTAGCTGATTTCATCAACCTGGGGCCCAGGTATGCAGTAAGAAGATTCCCTTCATTCCTCCCTGAAGCAGACAGTGTGGGGGACTGGCCAGTCCATTAGCAGGCAGTGAACAATGACTCATGAAGCAGAATGAGGAAGGAATCACAGTACAGGCACCTATCTCAGGCAGCACTTCAAATATAAATTATTTCATGGTTTCTTTTGCTTTTACAGTATGTTATCATTAAAGAAATAATATTGAACTATTCAAGTAATAGAAGAAATGTTATAAATGGTCCACCAAAGGAACTTTCAATATCCATCATACTTACTAGAACAGGGACACTTGGAGATCAAAAAGCTGAAAAAGTAGTGGGCTGTAGTAGTCTATAACCAGGTTCAATGTTTAGTTAGAATCCTGATTGACAATCTAAAATCTCTTCAGCTGCTTCTGTTAATAATTATTTCTAGAGCAAACCACAGTCATATTCTCAAATCATCTGCGTCCTTCTGCAACTACCCACTGAAGATCTTTTTTAGTATTTCTGAAGCCTCCTCCAGCTTTCTCCATATGTTTTGCACTTATTACTGATGACCCCAGACAAAAGCTGGCTTTCAAAGTCAGGGGTCTGGGTTGGCAAAAGGAAAAGAAAGTTCTAGGAATTCTGAACCTTACTATTCGTTTTACCACTACAAGCTCCCCACAGCTGTAACTGTAAACAACTGGAGAAGGAAAGAGGTATCTTTCACTGTACCAGGAATACAGAGGTTGTTATCTTGAGCAACTGAATTGTCAAGAAGAGCTGACTGGCATGAAATATCTGTAAGTCTTTAGATAAATAGTGTGATCAAACTGTAATGTTATTTTATTATTCAGTCTGAAAGTAACCAACACACTCAACATATGAAGCCCATGATGTTTGTGGTACAATCAGTATTGAGGGACACTTTTACTTGCTGCACCAGATACCAAAAAGAAATTCCACGTTCCTAACATTGCCCCTGAAAGACAGCCCAAAGAATCCTTTAATTCTTTAATTTCCTAACAAAAAAATGGACAAAGTTGACTCAATAAGGTGGCTCTGCTACTACTTTTCCTCCTAAACACTCCTGAAAGTCCATCAGAGGCCTATCATGCCTCCATCAGCTTCCCGTTTAGCTGGAGCCAAACAGGCACTTCAAGACAAAGCACAGGTGAAACTAGACCTACAGCTAACAATTGGATCAAGGAAGGACACTGAGGAGAATGTCACCATGTTGCCAGCACTGTGACCCCGACTGCCTTGCTGTCTTTTCCCAGTGACTTACAAACACACTAAACTGTAAAAATGATGCAGCAGAATGTCAGGAGCAAGAACCTTGCAGGAAAGATGATCATAGGTCAAACAAAAGCTCTGCAGAGAAAAAGAAACTCTTTGCAAGCTTTATGTGCTAGTCCTGTCTGAGGCTGTAGATGAGGCCAAGGACTCACAGTACAAAGCAACAAAAGCTGCCTACAGACTTAAGGGCTACGTTATCAAGACATTAAGCCTGTTCCTCTATTATTACAAATCCAAAGGAAGTCTGAAATGTATGTGGTAACACCAAGTTCAGACACTTCCCTACAGACTGGTTGGCTGCCACCTGCTCTTGTCCAATGTAGTAAGAACAACAACAACAAAAAAGCAAAATTTTAGAGAATTGATTAAAATTTGTCTTGAACTACAACTAGCAATAACTAATCCCCTAGGTCTGAAGTACCAAAGGATGACTGGTAGTCACAAGTCTTATATTTAAATCTATGGGAATAGGCTGACTAAATCTTCATATATCACTTTGAAATCCTACCAAAAAAAAGGACTCATGACTTCTCATTTCTGTGTCTCAGTTGTGGAAAAAAACCCAAGTATGTGCATACTTGGCTGCTTCAAAACATCCCTCTACTTGTCCAGGCTGTGTCAACTTACACATAGCAAAATCTAGCTTATACAATTCTATTCTATTTGATAAAGTTGCAGTGTTTGCCTAAATACCTATGTTAGCAAATGTTGTTCCAGCTGAGAAAGGTGAATTGCAATGCTCATAAGAAATGAAAGCAAAAATAAACAAACAAAAGATCTCCGATGAGTTAGAGCAGACACCTAGGGAAAAACGCAGGTGGTAGCCAGCTCGGTTAGAGATTTCAGAACAGATTTACAGTAGTTCATTTGGAATACACTGGTACACTGGGAAAAATAAACCTGAAAGTCCGAAGAAGACAGGTAATGCATTATTGAGAGTATGTTTGGAGCAGGGTAGAGAAAGCATCTAACCACTGTGCTGCCTTTCAACATTTCCATTGCTAAGTCCTTCTTGAAAGAAAGTAATGGAGGAAAACATTTACAGAGAGGTCTAAATATTAGCAATACAACTGTTTGAAAAAGACTGTACTTTCAAGCAGGAGGGGAATTCTGGGTTACCATAGCAGCCACCCACTCTCAAAATTGGGGAAGGGGGAAAAAAGAAGAGTCAAGAACTTAGATGAAAAAAGAAGCTATTGTTAACCAGACAACATGCTAGGTGATAAGAACGTGGCTGCACCTCAATGGAACGAAATAGGAGCATTATTAGATAAAGCACAGGCTTTGTTTCTAAACGGGTTGACCGGTTAAATCACACAAGTCTGACAGTGAAATCACACAAGTCTGATGGCATTTACTTCATCCCTTCAGAGAGCAAGGACTCAGGTCAGCTTGTTGTGTGTTTCTTGTCTTTAAGGTGGTTTTGTTTTGTGCACAGTTGGCTAAAATATCCAGGGAGGATTCTGTAACAATCTCTCCCTCTCTCCCAAATTTCTGTTAACCAAAAAGGAAGTACATTTTGTACCAGAGATTATATGCTAATGAAATATTGAGTAATATATGGAGGTCTTTATGTCCATGCTCTCAATAACTGTTGTAACATGGCTCAAAGACAAGGTTATTGTTTTAAATCTTCTACTCCACTGAACAGTGATGAGAAAATTGTTATTTAGGGCCAACTATCTTGACAAACATCATGTCAGCATAAGGACATGACCTCAAATATTGGAACATGGCAAATTTTTTCCCCCCAGTGTGTAATAAACAGTATTTTTAGCTTCAATCATGCAGTAAGATTAAAAAAAACCAAAAACAAACAACTGCCAATATTGTACCATTGCATCAAGGAGCTACTATAAGAACTCAGAAGTCCTAAGAGCAGCTTATAGTGCTTCAGTTAAATCATGAGTGTCATGCATCATGCAGCAATACAATAGCAACATAGAATATATTTATTTCTGCAGGTACTGAAAGAGCACATAGTCATGAAATGGATCACAGCAGTTTTAATTTTTGATATCACTAACTGTATATTGACCAGAGGCAAGGTTTGCATAAAGTATTCCTTGCTCATGTCAAAAGCCACTGATACTAGGCATTAAAAACTTTACTAATGTCTACTTTTTGTTTTTAAAATGTATTAATATGATTTTCCTTCCTGCTTTGCAGTAGCTGAACAGTTGGTTTCCTTTAGTTACGGTGACTCATGGCAGCAGTGGAAATACAACTTTACAGATGGATGAGAAAAATAGGAGCAATTAAAATAAAAATTCTGAGTATTTTCTAAAATAGCTTGCACCAAATTTAGAGGTATGTTTCAGTGAAGCAAAACCTTAGATATCTCCCCAAATAAAGACAATACTATCAGGAGACTTACAGTTGCCTCAAGTTAGAATAGAATATTATTGATCATCTCTTATTTGCAGATAACACTTGCCTGTACTAACTGTTAATCCACATCTCTTAAATGACATTGCTCACAAGCAACTTTTGGTAAATGTTACAGTCAGTGCTGCAGATTTAATCAACTGGTTCTAAACTCATATGCAGAAGCACAGAGTTGACACACTGCCTGCGGATGGGGTGGGATCTTTGCCACGTTGGCAAATATCAGTTTCCAGATCAATCTGGAATTAAATTGGTTCATTCAGTATATGCTCAAAAGCAATACACACTCGCACAATTACATCTACATGTGTGTACACACACACATACATATATACAACATACATGTATAGGCAGGCCACTGTTCAAATACTGAGGGAATTAAAGGGATGACTCCTGCAATGATCAGAGGTACACACAAACACACACACACTTGTTTGGTTTCCCACTGATACTATGAGGGTGGTCCTGGGCCCATCCGGAGGGCTACAATGGACTGATTACCAGCTCAGGTCAGGTCAGAGACTCCCACAGGCATGTGCTGGGGACAGCACATGAACAAGATTTGCCCCTGCTTAAGACTAGAACGATATGCACTCCAAACTAAGTCAGTGAATACTTCACAGAATTACATGAGTGAGATTCATAGGTCACTCTTCCTCTGCCCTGCCTCTCCTCAGCCTGTACAAGAGCTCTGATGCCAGGCAGTAAACACCACTTTTTATCCCAGCCCTGTTCATCATTCCCTGTAACAGAAAGGAGAGAGGGGGAAAAAGAGTGGATTGCCTTGTAGCCCACCTCATTGCATAATAGCCAAACTGACTTTGCATGAACAGTGAGGTACCTGTAAATGCCAATCCTTGTACCAAAAGACATGCACAGATTTCAGGAAACCTGCAGAGATCAGATGCATATATATGCCCACCCTTCTGCTTCACCTCACCAAAGAATATGGCCATGTGCAACTCTACTATCTGTACTGGATTAAAATGTGGAAAGGAACCACTTATCAGTCAGAGGCAGTCAGTTCCTACCCTTATTCTTTACCACCCAACAAAGCATTGTCCTACAAGCTCTGGAAGTAGGGAAAAAGTAAACCAAGAAACTGTTTATCCTATATCTGTAATCCTTTATGGACAACTTGCTCTCTCTCAGCCTTGGCTTTCAAGGCTCAGAAACCACTACACCTTGTCAGAATTAAGTCCAATGAATCACATTCTCAAAGGCCTCACAGTAAGTCACAGAAGCTGTACATACACAAAATCAGTCAACAGTTGCCTTATCTTCTGCCCATTCCTCCCTCCTCCCCCTCACAGTGTGAGCCATTTGCTCTCAACAACACAGTGACATTAAATAGTACAATATACTTACAGCCAGATACATAGCTGCATATACGCTTAGTGCTGCTTCTTTGGATGGGAATGTCTTTCTGGCTTTCATGATAAGGTCTGGATTTCCAGTACAGGCATGAACGCTACTGATGAACTGTGTATACTGTTTACATCCCAGTGCTGTATAGTTGGGTTTACAAAGTGCAAGAAAATGGGGTGCAAGATTCCCTGTTACTACTTGTCCAGCATTTACAAAGATGTCCGTAGCAAACAGTCCAAATGCGTAAATTCCTAAAGATGGAAACAAAGAGTTAAATTTCCTGACAATTTCACCAAAGGGCAACATATTATATTATTTATCAAAGCAATATACCAGCTTCTTCCATTCAAGAACATGAAAAATCCTCACATGTACTGTACCCTGATCATGGCTCATGCTGGAGATGTTACTTTCCGACACAACTGCAGCAGCAACACTGCAATGTACCCACACACCTGATGGCTCTCCATCTTCCATAGGAGCACGTTCACCTCTTTGCAAGTGGTCTACTTTCCTAGGCCCCCTAGCCATGCATGTTCCCTGTTTGAGGTAGGTAGCTATACTGGTACATAAATTTTGCCTATGTTCATTAAACATGGTGAAACGACAGAAGCACATTCTTCACCCTATAAATCTCCTTGAGAACCAAGGAAGCTAGGCACTGATGGAGAAGTAACTTGAAAAGTTGTAACACATACTGGACAAACATTTTCTTTTCCCTTGCAGCTGTAAAGAAATTAAAATACTGAATAATTCAACACTGCCATTCACAAGTTGTTTTCATCTGCCTGCTACTGGGTAAATCCCTATGCATGGCATATTAATCACAGTATCAACAGAGCAAGCTAAAGACCTATATATTTGAGAAGCTACTTATGCTAAAGAGTTTTTTTAATCAGACATATCAGCAAAACATTAAGCACATGTACTCATTCATTAGAATGTAAATGCATGTATCAGATTACTTAAAAGAAAACAGATTTCTGCTTTTCTGAAGTCCCTCTCTATCCTTGTAAATAGAAAATGAGCTCTGGAAGAACATGCAAACACAGCACTCTGACCAGAAGGCAAAGCCAGTAGGTGCTTGTTCAAATTTCACCTGAGCTATAGATTCCCTCCTGTATTTCCACAGACAAATCACCTTACCTTTCCCATACTCCAATTCACTCCAATATAAAGCAAGTTTTGGCAAATCCCAACTTCATGGGGCACCATGAGGACTCTACCAGATGAACACCACAGCAGCCACAATTTCACAGAAACGTTCATTTCTAAAGGTCAGGGGTTTTTTCTCAGCAAAGCCAGAGAATCAAGGATGATTTCTGGGATCTGGCTGGTCAGCAATGTCACACTAATGTTAATTCACCCTGGGATGCTAGACTCTGCTGAGCAGCAGACTGTGCCTAGCCAAGTCGCTTCACAGAAGGGCCCTTTCAGCAAGTCCCAAGGGTGTGCATTGCCCACATGTAGGTGGACACATCACTTTGTGTGAGCACAATGGGTAGCGATGCCTCATCTGGTAGAACAGCACAGAGCCTTTTGTTCATCCCTGCCCTTCCTCACAATTTTTCTTTTTGCTTCTGCGAAAAAAGGAGGGCCCACCTAGTAGGAAGGAAACTCAGGCACTGATTATACACAAAGCAACTGGAGTGGGAGGAGCGCCTTACCATCACTCCCCACCTCCTTCGGACCTATGCAAGACAGTGTCATCTCTAATGACTTTTTGCACTCAGTGTGACAGCAGCAATCGCCCTCTCAGAAGGCAGGCACGGCTGTTACACAAACACTGCAAATACAGACACAGCTGCACATGCCCTCCCTCCCCCTGTGACTGGGGCACTCAGCAGGATTAGCTGCCCCAAGGCTTCATTCCTCCAGCTGTTTCTCTTAGATACAACCACGAGAGAGAGAAGCAAACAATGGAACTGAGCCCTGCTATGGCATCCCTGCACGCATTAAGAAGCAGTATCTGGGAATATTCAACACACATTTTGAGTGGTGAGACTTCTCCCTCCAAACACGTTTAGAGCAAACTAAGCAGAAAAGATGACTCCTCATATCTACGGAAGTCAATGGGGGAGTTTCAGCCCAAATCAGTGTAGCATGGATTTACTACAGTTTTCTACTAGAGACTATAACACAATATCCAGACTAAGAAAGCACCTAAATTTGCTTGGCTTCAAATACACATTTGTAACCCAATGTCAACTTTGGCATGTGTGTGTGTACTGTCATCCACATATATGGCACAAGGATATCTCCTTTCTTCATTTCACCCCACTCCAGGCCTGCTGATTGTTTCCCCCCATTGTGATCCCATTTTTTTCTATTTTTACAGCTGTTTCTGCAACTATTTTTTAATCCAAACTTCCAAGAAGCTTCGTTTGCTACCTAAAAGGAACACTGAACCTGAATTAAGACTACACACAAAATGTTGTATGGTTATCTGAGTATTTTCCCCAGGTCAAAATTAAGACATAATTGATCACTCTCACCATTCAGATAATGAAAGCAGTAATTTTGCTCATACCAAGGAATCTGATGGTCCTGCGCACCAGTGGATTTATATAACAACAGTCTCCAGTTAATATTGTTTTTTCTTGGTTTTCAAAATCCTTTGTAGCTAACTGTAGACAAAAGACTGCAGTTTCTCCAACGATAATCTTAGGGGAGGAGAAAAAAGGGGAGAGAAACGGTACATCAGATTACAGCAAGTAAAATACGCTAATATTACAGAGACAGCCATCTCATCTTAAAGAAACAAGACCAAATCAGCACAAAAGACAACATAAGTGAATCAAGTTCTGTACATTAATCTTCTTATGAAGGAAGTATGTCTTATGGCTTGATTTACTTTATTTGCCTTAAAAGAGAATAAATTATTACAACCAGGATTTGGAGTCGACATAACATAACCTAGTTTTCAGGATGAGGGGAAAGAGAAAGAAAGAAATCTATTAGTTCAAGAACAACAGATCACATAATGCAGAAGATTTGCACCACAGTAAAGGCCTAATCCTGAAAGACACTGAACATTTCAGTTTTCACACGGCTTTCACTGGCACTCAGCACTTCACAGGGTTGAGCCTTAAATTTTGCACCACAGCAGGTGAAAATTAAAAAAAAGAAAAAAAATCTTAACAGAACTCCTGTTCACATCAGAGGTTTGGTTTGCCAGGAGGCACTTGACAGGGTTTGATTCTTATTTTGCCAGCTAAGTTTATCAAGTCTGGCTTCCTCATGCTTGAACAAAGTGTCACCACTGATATTTTAACACTGTTTCACATTCATTACACCAAAATGAATAAAGTTCTCGTGTCTATATATCATTTACATTATGGTTGGCAAAAAATAAACAAAAATCAAAAGATGAGAAAAATATGTATTTTAAATGTAAAATATCCCCTGCAGGTTGTGTATTTACCTGTACAGCAAAGCATGGCCTTTAATTTATTCAAACAGTTATGGTATTGAGACTTAGCCAAAGCCAAGCCTTAAGCAGGTACCTATCTAAACCTATTATACTGAAGTGTTATGGCACGTAGCACAGGCATAATCAAAAAGTAAAGCAGAAGGGTTAAATACTGACCACTGTATTCCAAATCTGATTCACTGTGGGAATTACAGGCAAAGCTCTTCTACTCTTCTATATGAAAAGTTGTACCTTATTGAGGTACATCACACTTTAATAAACAGGAATGAAGATCAGCAAACTGAAGTCGTAATACCACACAAATACAAGAAACAATGCCATTAAATCTGATTCACTGCCTAGGTTTTCCTAAACCTTTCACCTAAGAGGAAAATACGAACCTTTTAATACATCACAATAGGTCTGAACAGTTCTACACACAGCACTCGTTACAAAAAAAACCCACAACTATGGACACTGACTCATGTACTTTTTTTTTCAGGAAGAATGCAATTAATGACCTTACTTAGCTGTGTGTAGATCTACACAGATAACCCTGGGGCTGAATTGTGACACACAGGAGAAAAGTGCTTCTTACAAATAATGTGACACAAGTAACAAAAATAACTGTGGTGGTAAGTGTGTAAAAAGCAAGATTCGGTTTGTCACCAAAACAGTCATTATCTATTACTTTAGACTGACTTCAGATCCCAGTGGAATTTTTACATCAAACAGAAATTTCAATACCTGAACTAACAAGTATCCTCTCTCTATTTTGATGCAAGTAAATTTTCAGTCTACTGAAGTAGAATTCCTTCATCTATAATTAGCAAATGATCAGTATACATGAAAAGTAACTCAACCTTGAATTCAAGGCCATCCAAATTATGACAACCCAATGAATTCTTGAAAAAAACATAAAAATAAAAAAACCAGTTTTAATATGATTCATAAAGGTGAGAACTGAAACAATATTATTTTCTGAGTCACAGTAACGCCTTTCTTTCCTCTCATCAAGGACTAGGCAACCTGAACACAGTCGGATTCTGTATTTAACCAATTCTTTTTGCCAAACTCAAAAAATTTCAGTAAAATTTTCACAGATTTTGAAACTCCAGGAAAAAGCAGAATTCAGCACAAGGGAAGCATCTGTGATATACAGCGCTCAACCTTTTGCAAGAACACCAAGAGAAAGAATGCCAGCAAGCTCAACTCTCCAGCTCTGAGCACAGACTGAATCTGCTGATCTAAGAATAAAGGCCTTCTTGCATGGTAGGGAAGCTGGGGTTAACGAAAGGCAGAACTGCTCACTCACTTATAGGAAAGGATATCCTCATTTTCAGCAACCTGTCTTCATTGGCTGCATCTAGATCCTTACTGCTGCCAACAATTTTTCCTTGTTACATTTCCCATCTTTGATGGTGACCTGGATGAAGAAAACCCTCTGTTCTGAGAATAGCAGGGAGCAGTGTTCGTTCTTAGCTGAACGAAAATACTCTTAGAGTGGGCACGTATATGTAAGGGTCAGAAGGACACAGAACCCGGCTAAAGACAAAATTTTTGCTATAGCAGGCCTAGTGCTCTACTGTCAGAAGTAATCAGAGTGGGATATGCCACTGAGCACACAAGGCATTCATCTCTATGCTTCTGTGGTTTCATTTTGACAGAATCCTTCTAGAATTTGGCAATAAATACAGGTCCTTTATTTTTCTGTACTGGCAGCTCAGCTAAAGCTGTTCTCCTTCCTCCATCCTTCAGCACAAGCACTGCTCATCTCAATAATCAGCCTATTGATGTTTCAGAAATGGAAAGAAAATCTTTTTCAATCTCAGCAAATCCCATGAGAGATTCTGTTTCTCACTGCAATTCTTTCTCCTTCTCTCCAGCATCACTGGCAATAATCAGCCCTACACGGTAGAGGAAAAGGAGGGCAATCTCCCCGTTGCCCTTTACAATAATTTGCATGCCTGGAATATTCCTTGAAGGAATAATTTCTGTATTCCCACTGGCACAGGAACCACCATTACCGCTTCCACTGCATATGCAAGTTATAATCAGTCAACAAATGACATTTAATTTAACAAAATTATTTGTGTATTTTTCTCTAAGTCTTGGGGCAAAAAGTTTTTGGAATATTCCTAAACTGACAGTGAAAGATTGCAATGGAGAATCAGAATGTTCTGACAACACAAATCTCTGGACAAAACTACACAAGTTCAGGTATAGAAATATAATTTGCAATGGAAAGAAGAGGATATTAGAAGTATCTTTTACCTTATTCTAACAGGGTCATACTACTTAAGATCACTGTACAAATTTCCAGAAGTTATATATATTAAAATTCTTAGCTCACAGATATTTTAACATCTGTTAAAAGCAGAGGAGGCCATTCTTCCCTAAGGGTGAGAAAACCTTTTGACATAAAACTACAGCACGTAAAATATAAGGAAAAGAACAATTTTCAGCTGAAGACTAACAATACAAAGTGCAGGTTTTCCAGTATTCTAAAGAATATATATATAAAAAAACTTACTTTCACAGTCCTTAGATAAAAACACAGGGTACATAACTGCTACAAGAAGGAGCAAGACAAGAATGATCCTTTATTATTAGGGAAGCATGTAAAAAAAATATTAACCCAGTAAAATTTAAGTTATAGAAGAAGTTTCGCCTCTTAACCCCTGATTAATTTATTAGCTGATTGATTTTCATTGTGGTTTTAGACTAGTGATATATTTATTGCCAACCACTTAATACCAGTTCCCTTTCCTTGTTTTCTACACAGGATTCTTATAGCCTTTAGCACACATTCTCTACACTGATTCCTTCCTCCCAAATAAGTCCAGGGTTTTGTCTGTATTAGTCATTTTTCTGAATGCAGGCAAGCTGTTCCTAGTTTTAGCACTGTATGTCAATTTAGAAATCTAATTTGGCCTTCCCAAAATGATCCATCCAGTATATTCTTAACTTGGTTCTAAATTCTGAGCTGTTTTTCAACTTAAAATGTCAAACCTGACTCATTCCAAATATTAGAGCTAGAGCAGCTCTGACATTGTTGATTTTCCAGTAAACTGACTCCATAAACAAACTTCCCCCACTGTCACCTATGGTTTACAACACCCAGCACCTATATAAATAAATGACCTTAAATCTGCACTTCTGAAATACTAATGAGGTTTATTTTATGGCCTACCTTCTCATCTATATCACGTAACTGCCTATAAAACCCCAGGACTCAACTGAGAATTAAACATTCATTTGGATGACAAGATATCTGAGGGTGCATTAGTGCATTTAAACACGATAAATCCTGAAATTTAAGGTTGATAATCTCTATCTGGGATTAGGAAATAAATTTCCATGTATGCAGTCATAGACTATTCTAGCTAACACCTACTTTAGGATATACAAATGTTCATGAAATATTTCACACAGGCTAGGGAACATTGTGGAATACACGATTCCCTCTCTGCCAGTTCTCAGGGTTATGCTGTAGCTACAGCAACCACTCAGAAAGATGAGTAACGCTGAAAAGCAGTTATTACATTAAAAAAGACCACTAAATATTCATCCATGTGCTAAACTTGTCAAGTTAAGAAGAACAGTTTACAATACTGTGCATTGTAATTCTGACTTCTTTTCATTCACTGTATTTCTCTTATTTAGGCATGACTTGAACCCTACTCAAGTAGGCTTCTGTGAGACCATCTTCAAGAAATAACACAGCAAGGGATTGTCCCTTTGGGGAATGAGCATCTTGGGCAGTCCACAGCTCTGCTTTTCTCTTTAGAATGAGTTTTCTCATACCTCCTTATCAGATAAGAAGGGAAGCTGGGAACTGGAGCTAAAAATCTTGGGGATTATTTATGTATCTCTAGGGAAATTGTTGTCAATTAAGTTGCATTGTCTCCCCATTCATTTCACTTATGAGTTCCCACTCATAAGTGTGGTGTAGATCTCTTCTAAAAACATGGCTTCCACATGCTTTATTATTCCTGCCCTTTACCTTATCCTCTCAATTTTTGAGACCATGGGGTATTTCTGGCCAATTTCCTCTTCAAAGATGCCATAAATGTACCAAAGAGCATAGTGGTCTCAGAGTTTGGAAAATCTAGCAGCATAAACCTCGGCCTTTAGTGATGCTGCTCTACTCTCCACTTCAAGCTAAAAACGTTGAGTGAGGTGACAGCCCTGGCAGGAAAAGCAACAACAGTATTTCCAGCAGTAGCAATTTCAAGTTCATTATGCAGA